GTTCTTTTGCTCGCAACGCCTGAAAAGCTACATGAAAGCAATCAGCAAACATGAGCACTGAGGCTGTTATGTCCCTGTTTGTGAATTCTTAAAGAAAACACACCAAGATCCTGTTATACTCAACTAAAGATCAGCCTGTATTAATATTCTACATGTTGCACTGACATTCACAGTGTTTGAGCATTGATCCTTTACTTTCTGTCAACGATGAGTGCCACCATAGGTACAGCTATTTTTAGAGATAGGCTAAATCTTATGTAAAGTTTCTCAAAGTTTATTCTGTGTTTCCACCCTGTGCAAAAACAATGATTGGACCATAGAAGAGCAATGTTAAGTCAGTAATCCTTTGTGGCTGAGAATGCTGGAAGGTGGTGCAGTAAGACACAAATAAAGGAAATGGCTTCCAGAGAAGCTGCTAAATCTACCAGCCAGATTAAAACATCCAATGAGGACCTGTACAAGAAGACAAGCTACAAGAACATGTCCCCAGATATCAAGATGAAAAGGATCAGATGGCTGGGTCATGTCTTGAGGATGTCTAGTGATAGAATCCCTAAAGCTGGACTCAAGCTGGAGAAAGAGGGGCGGGCCAAAGACAATCTGGAGAAGCACAGTGATGGTAGAACTAGAGGAGATGGGTCTATCAAGCATCAAACAACACATAATACTGTGACGTGTGAAAGAAGCTTACTGCAGCCGTATGTCCCACAGGGATCAATGTGGATAAGTACTAACTAAAAGTCCAACCTGTGCACAATATATTACTCAGGATCGCGCTTTTTGCACACTGCACTACACTTGAGTTTACTGCTAACAAAATGCAATAAATACAAATAAATAAAGTGCTGCAATGAAAACATAATAGACTAACTGTCACATAGGGCAGGGGTGCACTGCATTTCTCCAACTGAATGCTTACACTGCAAGAAATGTATATTTCCCCCCTGGTATACAATCACCCTTTTTCAGATATTTGACTCGTATTAGTCCTGTTCACACCTACTCACCATTTGTTCCCGCAGTTGTTGTTGTTGCAGCTGTTGACACTGCAACGTGAGCTGAGCGATGGTCTTGTCTCGACTCCTCAGCTCCTCTCTGAGCTCCTGCACTTCCTTAATCAGCTCTACCAACTGAAAACACACATATGCAGTCTACTGTAGCAGACGAACTCAGTGGGAAACAGGAGACGAATAAAATATATATAAGCAGCATATCCAATCAATCACTGCTGTAAAGCAAAGGCATGGTTATTTACCTGTGATGCAGTGGGACTGTCTTCAATCTCCTCAGGTGCATCTGCAGGAGAATCTGTGTCCTCAAGCTAGAAATAAACAACACACATGCACAAAAGAACACAGTGAGTACACCGGGAGCTGGATCAATGACAATCGCCTCAGGCATGAATCAACTGCAATATTTCACCACGGTAGAATAATTTTACTCTTTAGCACATATACTTTACCAACACTGAACTGTCGACCGCCAATACCTGAGGCAGAGTTGCTGAGTATGTTTTTGAACATTCAACCTTCATTTAATCTAGTGCAGAAATGGCCTCCCTTTAAAGGCTACCTAAGGAAGTGCTGCACTAAATTGTTCCCAAAGCAGGTTGATATTTCATCCTGTGCACAGAGAATATTTAGAGCAATAGTTCACAAACATTCATTATTTATTTTCACAATCAGTCTGATAAATTAGTTAATGAATAAAATGTCAAACATTAATTGTTTATATAACCTGTTCACATGATTTAACAGGTTATGTCTTAATATCTTAAACTTTATCTTTAGTATTCCTCACTTTTTACCAGCTGCTTCAGGATTATATTTATTCATTTATTTATTTTTAATTCATTAAATTGTCGTGTTCTTGAAAAAGATTTAATTGTTGTTGATAACAACCTGAAACCCATTTGGTTTTAAAACAGGCCATTTTTATAGCTCCTGTTTGGAGTTCAAGAGCATAATATTAAAAAAGAAACAATTAAGAGTTGCTAATGTGCCAACAGAAATATTTTACATCTTGAGGGTATACAGGGAAAGTGCTGCCGTTACAGTAATTGCAGTGAGAACAATGAACAAATTTGAAGGAGACTGATCAAAATTAGAAACATAATATCACTTAAGTTGTCCAGGGCAGTTAGAGTCAACACATTAAAGATAATCACTTGTTGTGTGTGTGCTTCTGTAAATTTGTGTGATTGCCCAGATGGGGCTGTGTGGGTTTTGTGTGTTCATCGTTTATAAAACGTCACATTATATGACTAGCCCTCTCTTCCTTTATCATCCTAACCTCAGTATAAAATTTAAACAACACAAAGGAAAACCAAGATTTTATAAACATCTGTCTTGATATGCTTCTTTTTGCTTATACAGTATCTATGTAGAGTGCAGCAATACTGAGGAGATTATGTATGAAACCAAGGAGTACACATTAAAAGCTTATAATAACTGAAAATGAAATTAACAAGATTATTCAAACTAACTCTCTGGAAAACATTAACAAAGCTGTCAAAGACAAAACAGCAGCTAAAAACCAAATAATGGTCAAACCTGTAATAAAGTTTTGAGCCGGAGCAGCTGGTTCTTCAGCGAGCTACAATCTTGATTCATGTGTTCGACTGTGAGTTCATCCAGCATCGCCATGTAGCCATGCTGCCTGCCTTCAGAGAGGGAGGGACGTGAGGAGATCCTGGACGACTTGAGTCCATCATAGTGCTGGAAGACGTGGGCCCTGAGAAAACCACCAATAATCAAAGAGACAAAATGTGAGACAGACAGAAATACAGAATGATGATGGATTTATAGTGTTATTATTGTATTTTCCTTTTTTCTTCTTTCAAGCCGAACAAACCTGCTGTCACTGTGGAAGTGATCTGGTCCACTCCAGCGGTGGTGTTTACGCCGCTGCCCCTGCCGACCGGCCCTCTCCGAGCGCTCGATGTGAGACATCCTGCCAACGTCTGGGTCGGAAAAGTTTAGAGCAGAAAGAGCCAGATTAAAGAAACGCTACCTGACATGAAACATTTAAATCCAGTGTTTGTGGTTACTTTAGATTCAGTAAAGCATCTTTGTTGGAGTGAAACTACAACATTTTGTATGGTTTAAGACAAGCAGCATTTTGCAAAGAATTTATTTTCCTCTTTCTTCTGTGCATACACACAAACCAAATGCACGACTGTTTTATACTTTGTGGTACTGAATACTGCTGTGTATGTCTAAAACAGTCTATTGAAAAATATCTGCATATAAATCACAATCTGATCCATCTCATTATCCATCTCTCTGAGCTATCTCAACCATCAAATGCAAACAAGCTCGCACACCACACGGTGACAGGCTATTTCATTTTCAAGGAGGCGAGAGGACACAGTGTTTGGCAACACTCAATAGCATATAGCTATGAAATGAACCATGACAGCAACAAAATTGACAACTAACAGAGTGCGACCCCCCAGGAAATCTAAGGACCCTTGACTTGACTTTCTATATGTTTTCCAACAGTCTTCAGATGGAGAGAAATGTAGAAAATGAAAGGGAGAAAAAGAGATATAAAGAATTATTATTGGACTGAAAGGCCCAATTCAAGGAATTCAGCAGAGATGGTTAAAATACTTTACCCTGAGTGTCACCACATAGCACAGGAGCAGACAGCCAGCTTTATACTGAACTGTTACATTCCACAAAAACAACTCAGAAAGAAAACAGTCCTCTCAAAAGGAATATATTCCAACTGGAAAAGAAAAATCCATAACGACAGAGAAACTCGGACGGAGAGGGGAGAGAAATAAGTCCTTGTCCGGTCAGCTGGTGAGCAGTTAAAGGGCCAGAGAGGAGAAAGTCAACCCAACTCCCACCACTGTCCCGCTCTGTGTTTGTTGACAGCCTTGTTTTTCTGGGAACTCCCTAGGAACTGGAGCTGGGGAGAGAAGACTGTGGTGGTGGTGGTGAGAAAGCAGCTGAGTTGACTGGTTTATGTCCAAAGCTAGGAAGTCACCAGCTGAGGCAGAGAAGAGGAGAAAAAGCTGGGGCCTCTCTCCTGTAAAGGGACATGACAGCTGGATGAAAATACTACATAAGGCCCATTCTACCCTCCTCTTTTTTTTACTCTTCTTCTGTCCTTCACGTCTTCCTGTTTTGTGGCAGGGTCTCTTTGGGAGGAAGGAAACACCCTTCCATAGCTCCACGTCTCAAGGCCTGCCCTGTGGGCTGGGTCTGACTGAACTCATCGCCTCTCTATTTTTCCCACTACCTCTGGTGACACTATAGCGCTACAGCCATGACAGAGAGAGCTATAAATATGGTGAGATCCCAAAAAGGAGGAGGAAGAGAAGACACGTTCACATTCCTCTGGAGGGAACATTCCTGTGCCTCTCTCTCGCTCTCTGTTTCCATCTCTCAAACTCTACTGTTTACAAACTTGAAGAATGATATCACGGGAATAAAGTTTATTAAGTAACATCAAGCTAAAACTAATACAGGCCTAAAATAAAGCCTCTCCATGGATACTGCATTGCCTTTAGAGACGTGTTGATTCAACTTTATGGTCATTTTGGAGGCAGTAGTTGTGATGCAGACGAACCGTATTCTCACACACTCTGAGAGGTGTTTGTAATATTAAGTCTACCCTCACTGATATAAACTAAAGCCTCCAGAATGACCATAAAGTTGAACTAACAGCACTCTAACACAGTTTCAACAAGAGCTCAACATTATGGCCTTTATAAAAGAAGAATTTACTGCAGGACTGTTGCAGGACAACCATCAGTAGCAGATACTGATGGAGTTAAAAATGTGTGATAATGATATAATAGCCGATATGCTCAAACAAAGAAATATAATAGAGGCTAGATGTTTTCACTGTCGAACCATAAACGTCATAATATATAAATAAAATACTGTAAATGTAAAGAAAAAATCAATACAACCAATTATATAGAACTTGAAGAATGTCAGCAAACATAAACACACAATGTGGATAAGTCTGTAAAAGGCCAATTTTTATCATCCAACAAATAAATTAGTGAGGCTCTAATCCCTAGATCATGTGCACATGCAGGTATGGTCAACATCCTTCCATGTGGTGCAGTTGGAGACCTTGTTTGGACATGTCTGTCCTTCCTTCCAAAGCAATAGTGCATTAAACACATTATGAACTTACAGGCTCCAGAACTGACAAGAAAAACTTACTTCCCAGGATTCATTATCTTCTATAACATGTGAGGTGATTATTCCTCAACCTCTCTTTTCCTCCTATCTACTGTATGTGATACACACCACCTGATGTAACGTTATCAACCACTATCACATGATAATGATGTGACCTGATTAGCTTTAGCATCTACAAAGAAAATATTTTATTCAATTTTAATGAGATTGGTACTCGATTAGATTAGAAGGGAAAACGGGTGATGGAGAAAACGACTTCAATAGATACTGTGTGATATCAGAATGGCAGTGGTGGTATAATGTGTGAATGGTAATTGAGGTATTAAGGCTATTTAAATAATCATGCTAACAGCATGGCAATCAAATGTAAACTCTGCCCCTGCAAAGCCTGTATGAGCAGTGTCGTTGTACTGTCACCATATGCAAGTGTGTGTGCATCTGTTCATATAAACAGAGGCAGACAGTCAGTTAAGTAAGTACTTTCTCCAAGTCAGCTGCAGAGCTGTCATTCAGAGCCATTCGAGTGGCAGTAGTTGTAATTTAATAACTCTCCAGCGATCAAATTCTACCAAACCCTGACATAATAGACAACAAGGTGTCTATTAACAGATTTAAATGGATATTGCAGAGGTAGTGCTCCACCTGAGGTAAGGCATGATTAATTTTATTCAGGCCTTTATATGCCACAGAAGAATACTGCTGGAAATAGAAAGCTCAAACTTTGGTAACACATTAATTTACAATTACGGCCACAGTGGTTTTTGCTGGAGGTGTCCGCTCATATGAGAAATAATGTAAGACCTCGAGCCAATGGAACTGAATCATTTGTCATGGTCGTAGAATAAATCCTGTGGAGGACTGCAGGAACATAAAATGTCCTGTCCCACGTCTGTGGGTGTGTGTTGTGTGCTCACCATGTAAGCCATCCTCTGGCAGGTCCACATCAAGCATGAGGTCATCATCAGCCAGCTCTCCAGTTCCCCGAGGGTCCAGGTTGTTCAGGATATCCTAAAACCAGAAAATGAGACGTAGCATGCTCGTTGTATTTGATAACATCAGAGGCACATTACGAGTGCCTGTATGATTTTGTGACTAGGACATGTATTTGCTCTGCTTGGAGAGAAATATCATGTACATACATGTACCAAAAAAAAAGACAATGCATAATAAACAAATGTGGTGTTATCTTGCTTGAACAAAGCCTTGTTAGCTACTTTTAATGTGAAATATGATTTTAGAATTGTGTGGATGCATAAAACTATTTCTAATACGTCCAAATTGTCATAAATGGATTTTCAACAGCTCCTGGAATATCAGGATCCTGCAGTCCATAGTCTGACGATGTCTTTTGAAGGTTTAATTTCAAGCTGTGACAAATATACACAGTATATGGTGATAATGTCTTTGTTTGGCCACATATTAAAAGAAGAAAACTACACAAGGAACGACTCTACACTGTCATGAGGGACATATAATATTCTTGCAGTCATTATGAATGGGGATTTTAATTGAAATAGGATATTTGTACGTTCATTCTTCTGTTCACTCTCTGCTTTTTACTATTTTTCATCATTAAAAAACAATTTTAAAACCACTGTAAATGACTTTTTCTACGATACTCTTCCACACGTTTCTCCCACACCTACAGCAGGAAGACGACACGCTTATTCCGGACATCACGCCACAGATAACAAATCAGGCTTCTGGAAAAATATCATTTGGTTATGAATGATAATACAGGCCGCTTTGAATATCCCGACAGAAACCCTTCTCATAACAGCCTCGGAATATGCAGCTAGTCTGACTGCCGCGCTGCCGTCTACAGAATAATTCAAAGCATACCCAAAAGCAAAAAAATGAATCAATAGTTCAAAGCTTTATTTTTCCAAGGCAATTTTGTGCTTCACGAAACCAAATTGACAGGGCTTTGACTACAAGACACAAGCATAAAATTACTCATTACTGAAAATCTCATGTGTTGCATGATAGCTGACTGGAGCTCAGGGTTTCAGACTTAATGAAGAAGGAATAATGAAGGAAATAGAATAAACAAAAATACACTACTGCAGTAATTCCAAATACTATCAACCAAGATGTGGGTGGAATCTCTGTCGCTTGAAGAGTCCACTGTTTCATTGTCTCTCACTTCTCTCCTCAGATTTCTGTCTCCATTTTCTCTTCTATCTTCATGGTGCTCTCTCGTCTCTCGTCTATAACCTCCCACTCTCTGAATATAACAGTTTTAATGTTCGGGTGAAACAAAGATTACATACTCTTCTCTACTGGAAGTGATGCTTTCTTTTTCAGGAACAGCCTGTTCTACAGGAACACTTTTCTGCTGGAGTGTTTGAAATACACTGGCATCAAAAACAGGGTTATAAGTGCATCCTTCCACGCTTCCACACATTTTAACTCCAGAACGTTCCATGTGTCTGATAGTTAACCTGCTGAATTAGAAACCTGCAACACAACAAAGGCAGACTAACATGAGCAGCTGCAAGTCCACCATCAGTGACAAAACTCACAGCTCAGTTCAAATTCACACACGGAGGTGTGTAAGTGAAAACACAACAAGAACCATCCAAATGAATCTGTGGATGAATCCCCAAGTCAGAAGCAGCCTGTGTTAAAATGAAGTTCCATCATTTCTGTCTGTAAAACAACACTGACACAGCAGACCACTTGTCAGAATATGTGTATTGTGTTGTCTGTGATGTCTGGGTATGCCGTTAAAACAATGCAGAGAAGAGAAGCATTCATGTTTCCATTTTAACAATTAAGTTAATCAGTCAAGTTCTATATATTTGGTCGTATTTGTGTTTACTTTTTAGTTACTTATAATGAAGTTTATGGTTCAATTATAAGATATTAAGTCTCCTTTACAATTCCTCTTCATGAGAGTTAAATCATGAAATCATGGGAATCATTGCCAATTTGGGTATCGGCCACAGCCCTCAAAACTCCATATTGTCAGGCTCTATAGTAACTATCTGGTTACAGCTGCCTATGAAGTTGTGCAGAACCTAAAATAAAGGTATTAAATAAATGTGGTTATACTTTAATATAGGGTTAATCCCAGGGATTGAACCACCAATCCCTGCTCCATCACCTGAACGACATCCGCCCTATATCGGCACAGTAATGTATTCTGCCCGACAGTGTATCAATACTCTAAAATTAGGAATGAACCATTCGAGTGTTAGATTGTTTTTTGTTGTCTTTTCTTTATTTCAGCAACATTTCACAACTTTCTCTCTGTCTCCTCCAGTTTCATTGACTGTCTTTGTTACAGCATGTGGCTTCAGAGGAAATTGCATTTCACACTGGCAGGACACAACAGCTTAGAGCGCTGAAAAAATCTGAATCATCTCTCAACAAAGAAGTGTGTGTGTGTGTGTGTGTGTGTGTGTGTGTGTGTGT